TTCTCCTCTACGCTCATCGCCCTCGGCGCCGGCTCCATGCTCAACAACCTCATTCGCCGCTACACCGACGTGTGCAGCGACGACGCAGCGGCCACAGCAGCGCCCAAACGCTTCCCGGCAAAGCTGCTTGCCAAGCTCGCGCGGCGATAGCTGGGCCCGCCAAATCCATGCGGGCGAGGACGATCTCGGCCCCTGCAAAGCTGCAATGCCACACATCCTCTTTCTACCTTCGCCTTCCCCCCAACCGCACAGACAGAGGCGAAAAGTGGAGCCGCGCTCTTGCTCGTGCGTTGCGCTCTCTCTCTCTCGCAGGGGGCATCGTCTGGACAGAAACAAGGCCAGTCATGGGTAGCATTTTTTTCATCTCTCCATCTCTCTCAACACGTACCGCGCGCGCGGCAGCCTGGCGCGGCAAAATCGTTCAGCTCATCGTCGGCATGTTGACGCTGGCGCGCGAGCTCGTGGCGTCCTGTGCGCGCCAGAGGCTGTGTGTGCAGACCGGGGGCAGGGGAGGGGGGAGGGGGGGCGGGGGAGCGTCAGCTTTTACGCAAGTCCAGGCGTGGGGGCGCGCGATCTGTGCCCCCCCCCCCCCCCCACCAGGCGGCGGCCGGGGGCGGCTCAACTACCAACGCACGAAGTGACAGTCTTGAGCTGCGTGTAAAAGTTGAGGCCCTGCTTGCCGTAGAAGCCAATGTCGCCCATCACCGAGCCCTTGTCTGCGAGAGGAGGAGGTGCGGGGGGAGGGGGGAGGGGGGCGAGCCCAGTTGCAATTTCTGTCAGTGAGGCAGACTCTGGCGCGGCGGGGGTTGAGGGGGGGGGAGCCCATTACTTCGCCCTCCCCCCCCCCTCCCCCCCGGGCGCCGCATGCAGTACAGGCCAACTCACTGCCAGACCACGCGAACATCGGCAGCGGCACGGGCACGGGCACGTTGATGCCAATCTGGCCCACGTTGACTTCCTTCTCAAACTTGCGTGCCGTGGCGCTGCAGATCGGGGCAGGGAAGGGGGTTGAGGTGAGCAAGGGGGGGGGAGGGAGTGTAACGCTGCGTAGAGAGGGTCGCGACCATCACTTACCCATTCGTCGTGAAGATGGCCGAGCCGTTGCCTGGGGGGGGGGGGAGGCAGGCGAAGGAATTCGCGGGCTTTAGCTTACGCCACATCTCCACTTTCCATACAGAGCTCCAACGAGAGGGGCAAGGGGCGTTGGGTCCTCACCGTACTTGTTCTTGTTGATAATCTGCGTGGCCTCCTCGAGCGAGTCGGCCTTGAGCACGACGAGGGTGGGCCCAAAGATCTCCTCGTCGTAGGCGCGCATGCCCGGGTAGGCCTCGACGACGCTGGGCCCGACAAAGTTGCCGTGTGGATACTGCGCCGAGCGGAAGCTGCGGCCGTCGAGCAGAATACGGCCGCCTTGCGCCTCGACGGAGCCCGTCAGCTCAATGACGCGCTCGCGCGCCTGTGGCGAGATGAGCGGCCCGCTGTGGGTTGCGCGGTTCGCGATGAGTTGAAGGCCCAGGAGATGCAACGTGGTATTCCCGAGGTTGTCAACCTCCCCCTCTCGCCGCGAGAGTGGCACAACTCACAGATCAGTGTCCTCCTCGAAGCCGCCCGACACCTTGAGCGCCTTGGCACGCTCCACGAGCTCCGGAATCCACTTTTGCGCCTCGCCCACCGCAATGACGACGCTGGAGATGGTGGGGGGTAAACGACGGGGCGCGGGTCAGTGCGCTGTCGCTTCTTCCGCCTCGCCCCAATGCGGGGGGCCCTGTGGCAGCCCAACACTCACGAGAGCGCCATGCATCGCTGTCCCGCGGCGCCAAAGGCGGCGCCGCCGATGCTGTTGAGCGCATGCTCCTTGTTGGCGTCGGGCATGAGAATGGCGTGGTTCTTTGCGCCGAGGTTGGCCTGCACGCGCTTGCCGTTGCGCGTGCCGCGGTGGTAGATGTGGGCGCCGGCGCGGTCGGAGCCGACAAAGGAGATGGCCTTGATGCGTGCGTCGTCGCAGATGGCATTGACCGTGTCGACGGTGCCATTGACGATGTTGAGGACGCCTTTGGGCAGGCCCGCCAGGTTGCACAGCTCGGCAATGATCATCGAGGCGCCCGGATCGCGCTCCGAGGGCTTGAGCAGCAGCGTGTTACCCGTGACGGTGGCCATGGGAATGCTCCACAGCGGAATCATGGCGGGAAAGTTGAAGGGCGCAATGGCGGCCGTGACGCCGAGCGGCACGCGGCGCGCATGGCAGTCCATGTCGCGCGCCACCTCGAGGCGCTCCTCGAGCAGCGTCGACGTGATGCCGCACGCCGTCTCGACGACCTGCAGGCCGCGCAGCACGTCGCCCTTGGCATCGCCAAACGTCTTGCCCTGCTCGAGGGTGATGCTGTTGGCAATGTCGTCCATGTGCGAGCGGATCAAGGCCTGCAGCCTGTAGCAAGGAGCGTCAACCTCGGCGGGAGCAGCCTCGGCATGGCACGCACTTGAGCATGATGGCCTGCCGTCCCAGAATGCTCGTCGCCGCCCAGTCGGGGAAGGCGGCGTGGGCACAGGCGACGGCGGCGTCAAACTCGGCCGCCGGCGTGTCGGGCACGCGCGTGAGGAGCGTCTGTGTGGCCTGTGGAGCAGTGAAGGAAGCGTGGAGCGTGAGTCGAGGAGGCGCACGACGTCGGCGGGGAGCCAAGGCATCCTTGGCCAGCAAAGAGGCAGGTCGAGGCGATAACGTCGGCAGCGCTGCCTCCGGCTTGTCGAGGCACAACTCAGGCGGCGCGCAGGGGGGGGGGGGGGGGGGGCAAGGCCGCGCGGAAGCAGCGCAGGCTGCGGCCCAGGCGGCTGTGATGCGGGCTCTTGCGTCTGGCGCCCCCGCACGCAGGCTCTTCTATGTGCAGCCGCACCCGCCTCTTGGGCTGCCCTCATGCCCGTGCGCCCTCTTGCGCCACGCTGCTGCGCGCGCGCCTGGGGGCCTGTCAAACTCACGGGGTCGCGCACCTCGCACCATGTGCTCGCCTTACTCTCGACGAATGCGCCGTCGCGAAAGTTCTTGGTCGTGCCGCCGAGGGTGCTTGTGCCCTGCCACTTGGCGTCGACGTCCTTTGCGCGCGCCAAAGCAATGCCGGCTAGACCTGCGCTGCCCGACGACGCCGAGGCGGACGTGGCGGGTGCGGCAGCGGCGCAGCGCAGGGCCGAGGTGCGCAGAGCGGCGCGCGTGAGATGCGTGGCGAGCATGATGGGTGGGGGTGACGAGACGCAAGAAGAGGCACAGCGCTCAGGTACATCGTCGATGCCCTCCGCCCCCTCTGCGCAAGGGCAAGGCGCGCCCAAGCTGCTCGCCCCCCGCCCGCTCCACCCAGCGCAGCCGTTCCCCGCACGCCGCCCCGGCTCTCGGCAGCAGCGGCAGCCGCGGCCGCCGCGCGCCGCGCGCGTGCACCTCGCAGTCGGTGGCCGAGGCGCGAGCGGGCGCGAGCGCGACTGCCGCGCCGTGTGCCGGTCTCGCGCGAGAGGCACAGTGCGTCCATGCGCGCCTTTTTCCTCTGCGCCCTTCTGGCGGGGCGAGTGACCGATGATCTTGTCCTCGTCCCTCTCCCCTGCCACATCCCTGCAACCCCATGCCGCACGCCTCCTCCTCCTCCTCCTCCTCCTCCGGCCGTGGCGCTGGCGCTGGCGCTGGCGCTGGCGCCGCCGAGGCCGGTCCTTCTGCGCGCCCGCACGGCAGCTATGCGTTCTATCTCGGCAGCGCCGCCGGCCTCATCTCCTCGGTGCGTCTCGCACCGCCTCTCGATGCCGAGGCCGCAGCCGCCGCACACCAGGCGCTGCCGCAGCCCGTCGAGATGCTCGCCTATCCTGCCGCTGCTGGCCGCAAGGATACGGCAGTGCAGCGCATGGCGGCCGCACATGTGGGCAAGCGATGGGTCGTGAGTTGCCCCCCCCCCCTCCCCCTCCCCCTGGGTGCATTTGCGATGCTGATGCGTTGGCTGCCGTCCTTGCCAGCTCGCCGTGGCTCGCAAGAACGGCTGCATCGACCTCATGACTCGCGTTGCGCATGACGACACGGCCGCCTCGGCGTCTGCTGCTGCTGCTGGCGAAGCCGCGCAAGCAGAGGCAGCGGCGAGCGACGCCATGGCCGTCTCGCAAGACGCCGCGTCCACCTCGTCGGCAGTCGCCGCCGAGGCGCCCTTGCCGCCGCCCCGCGAGCGCCTGCGCTTTCTGGCGTGCGTCGCCGAGCCGCGCATGCGCGTCGGCATGGAGCGCTGGCTCGCACTCGCTCTCTCTGACAGGTGAGTGTTTTCTCCCACGCGTGCCCCCCGTTCTTCATGTTGCCCGAGAGAGAGCAAGGAAGAAGAAGAAGAGCGGAGGACGGGCAAAACAGCCAGAGATGATACCCTTTCCGGAGTGCTCCCGCACTCGCGCCCGACTCACACGTGGAGATCAACCCGCACATATTATAAGTTTCAGCCTTGTCTGAGGTGTTTGCCCCCCCCTCGCTCCTCTTCTCCTCCTCTTCTCCTGTCCTTGCCTTTGCTTGCCTGCTTTCGGCACT